CCCGCGCTTAGTTTTCGTTAATTTTACTAGGACACAAGAAAGAAAGCACCGTCGTTACTAACCGTCGTTACGGTAAGTAACGACGTAACAAACCTCTGATAGAACCTACCAAGCTGCTCGGAAACAAAAACATTACTGGTTAATATAAATAAGCGTCTGTGTAATAACTTCCTCGGCTACGGGGCCTTTGTTTAGGGAGCCTATAATCTAGGGCGCTGCAGTGCAGACGAGGCGAGTTGAACGCTTTCAGGTTGCCGAATCCAGGAACCGCGTCCATGCGTCCGGCCGGATGGACGGGTCGGCCGGCGAGTCAGGTGAACGTTTGTTCATCGTTTTCAGTTTTCTTTTGTTATATTATTACCTTTTTTCATTTTTGTATGTTTCAGATTGTTAACACTGAGACGTTAGCTAAACCCCCTACTGTCAAGGAGCTAAGTGTACCAGTTTACAGTGCATTTATAACAACAAACAAGTAGAAGAGCCTGGCGAACGATAAGTCCAGGCAGGCGCCCGTGACACGGCTTGTTCATGCAGTACTTTGCAAGATGATGTGTTGTAATGCGCGATGAAGAAGCGAAAAATTTGGTTGTTCCGTCGATCCGCAGGAATTTAAAAGCTGACTTGAACTTCTTCACTTTACGACAAGTCATAATTTCCAGAAATACCATCTGAGTTTAAACGAAATAAACACAAGCTAAAAAAACCTGGTGCTTAAGCCGGCAATTGTTGATTTTCGGTAAACAGATGTCTGGAAACGGCCATTCGATTTTGTGACATTGCAATCAAGAAAAGATAAACTATTGTTGGATTAAACTACATGGTAAATTCGATGGACTTGTGTTGGAGATTAAGATGATCAAAGAAAAGGCCTACTCGAGAGGAATGCTTGAAAATTAAAAAACTGTCAGCGACATACCGGTTATAGAATATAGTTGCTTAAAATCAAGAGGGCAATTGGCCAGCCATGTAGCCTCGTGAAAACGCATGAAAATGTTAGCAAAAGTAGGGTCGAGAGGCTGACCTATGCCAAACCATCAATTTGACTATAAAATTTGCCAACAAATGCAAAAATTTAGTTTAAAACAGATAATTAAAGAAGAGATTTAAAACAATTGCGGTCCATCCTGGGTTTGAACTGCAATTGTCCCTTTATATTTTAAATTGTCTCACCAACAGTCAGCATACGGTAGACAATAAATACATATTCGAGGATCGCTTAAAGAATTTTACTAATGTACAGGACTTGACTATTGCCTCATTTGATGTAAAAAATTTGTTTACCAATACACCCCACCATGAAACTATTGTTATATGCCTAAATTCTTTGTTTAAAAGTCTCAATGACTGTGTTATGGGTTTGAACCGCAACTGTTTTGAATCTTTTCTTGAGTTATTTGTTTTATACTCGATTCTTGTATTTGTTGGCAAATTTTATAGTCAAATTGATGGTTTGGCATGGGTCTTCCTCTCGGCCCTACTTCTGCTAACATTTTCATGTGTTTTCACGAGGCTACATGGCTGGCCAATTGTCCTCTTGATTTTAAGTCACTATTCTATGAGAGTTATGTCGATGACACTTTTTTAATTTTCAAGAATCCCTCTCATGTAAGCCTATTATTTGATTATCTTAATCTCCAACAAAAGTCCATCAGTTTACCATGATTTTTTCCTGATTGCAATGTCACAAAATCAAATGGCCGTTTTCAGACATCTGTTTACCGAAAACCGACGTTTACCGGCTTAAGCACCAGTTTTTTTAGCTTTTGTTCATTTCATTTCAAATTAAATGGTATTCGAACATGAATAAACCGTGGCTTTCGTATATGTTCTACTTTAAAAACTATGCACTATGAATTTGATTTTTTACGCTGTGCATTTTCACTTAATGGGATTCATTAACATTTGGTATATACTCATGTTAGGAAATTTTTGTCTAAGCAATATTTTGAGGTTATTCCCGAACGTGGCTATAAGGATGCTGATTATTGTTCATTTCCTTACTGTGGTCCCATTTCGGAGTCTATGGCTAAAGAGTTAAAAGGTTTGTTCTTCAAATACCTCCCAAATGTAAATCTTCATATATAGCCAGTGAATAATTTTAAAATCAGTTCCTTTTTAAAGTATAAAGATACACCCCCTGTTCCTATGCGATCGTCCCTAGGTTATCAATATAGTTGTGCGCTATACGCATCTGCGTATGTCGGTATGACATCTAGCAATTTTTTTCTAGGCTGGCGGAGCACAAAGGTAGGAATTTTAAAACAAGAAATCTGCTTGCGCATCCTCCTCATTCAGCAGTACGCGTTCATGCCGAGCAGTGCAACGTACCGGTGTCCGATATTGATTTTCGAATTTTAGCCTCTACGACCGTTAATTCTAACCTGCGAATTTTTGAGTCCCCTTATATTTTCAAACAAAAGACTAGTTTAAATGCCGCTAACAGTTCCTGTCCCCTCGAAATTTTAAATAGATAGGTTTGTCTGTTCATAGTTATTTCATTCTTATTTGCTTTCATATGACGTTTTATGCTTCAATGCAAATTTGTTTGCTAATTGTTTGTACCTGTGTTTTAGGTTTTGAACTGACGATGAAGCTACACTCCGAAGCGTTTTCCTTCATGAGAAATGGTTAATTTTCTGGCTATTTTCTTTGCTTTAATTAAAATTCTTGATATATTGCGATTTTTAAGCAGTCAAGCGATCTTAGTACGTATGGAGATGATACCCACCTGCGACGAGCAGAAGCAGACAGAAGACTTTTTCGAGACACATAATTATTATGGGATTGCAAGTTGCGTAACCTGCGAGCGAGTTCTGCCGGCTTCGTAACGAAATGCCTTTCCTGTAGATGTGTAGAATTGTGCGCTCTTTTCTGGCTCACTGAGTGTCAGCCTGATCACCAGCTGTATATATGGCGCATTTAAGGGGAGAATTTCGCCTAAAAAACACCAAATTACTTTTTCAGTGTTTCATCATCAATTTATAGAGAGAACAATTACAAAGCGGGTGCAACAAACCGCGATGATGTATCTTTCATGGTTCTTTCGTGAGGCCGTTTGAACTTTTAAAAAATTATCATATAATAACTAGTGTATATGAAGATTTCTTCAATTAAATCTGTAATTATAGATAATTATTCGCGTTAATTGCAAATTGTATTTTCTCGTTTGACGGCTGCAAACAAGAAGCTTTCAATGAAGCAACAACCATGGATGCACATGCAATACTTTTTGCGTAAGGCTGTTTAAACTTTATATAATGACCATTTTATATGAATAAATATTTCAGAAAACCCACATTTATAGCTCATTATTCGCATTTAACTTTGCATGAATAAGTCTAGAGACGCGTGATGGCATGCATACTCGATACGAGTAATTGGCAATGGGAAAGCTGCAGGGGCTGCAGTTTCAAGCAAATTTGAAACATTACTTTTGTTTTATAAATTTTACATATTTGGCTCCCATGCAGTATAGTGGGCACAGCAAACCGAAAAGCTAGCTTCGATAACCGTTAATCCGCTAACTGAAAAGATATTTTTTATAATGCTGAACCGATAAATCGCTATAAAATTTAGCTGAATATACCGCTAACCGCTAACTTTTATTATATCAATTTAGCTCTGGCATAATTTTTTGGAGGCTCTGAAACTCTGAAAAGCAGAACTACAGAGCTGAACTTTTAATAGGTCGTAGCATTGACTAGAAGGTTTCCAAAAAGGTGTAGCATGCCAAGATCAAATTATGATCAAGATGTACATAAAAAATTAGATGAACAAATTAAATTAAGCAGTAGTTGACATTCAACATAGTTTATTGAATGAATAAGAAAGTATTAAACGAATAAGAATAAGAAATGAAAGCACGCAGGTAAAAGTAGGGTAACACACTTCTTGTACTATGGCTTGTCCTTAATTTCCTCGAGGTGATGCTTGTTGCTCTTGATGAACATCAGCTTCTCTGCTTTGATGAACATCAGCATCTCAATGCTGCGTCAACCAATCACGTATTGTGCTACTACAATATGTAGCAGTAACACAATAAGTGATTGATTGACGTACATATGTTGAAGGCTGCGCCTCGCAGATCTAGAGGGCTGCACCTCGCAGATCTAGATGGGCTGCACCTCGCAGATCTAGTGGGCTGCGCCTCGCAGATCTAGAGGGTCTGTGCCTCGCAGATCTAGAGGGGGTGAACCTCGCAGATCTATTGGGCTGCGCCTCGCAGATCTAGAGGGGCTGCGCCTCGCAAATCACACGTCGCGTATCGGAGCACAGCGTGTTGGAGAAGCGGTACAACCACAGGGAGCTCAGCTCAAGGCAGTTCTGCACGCCGGGATAGTCGGGTTCACGAGCACCCAAACCAACCTAAAAACGATACAAAAAGCAAAGCGTTGTAAGAAAAAATAATGTCCATCTTGAATAAATTTTTTACAATGACTGTCTATCTTAGATCAATTTTTTACAATAAGCTACGATTATATTAGATAAATTTTTTACAATGACAGTCCAAGGACCTTACCTCATTAGAAGAACAACATATAACGCCAAGCTATCGCCAACATACTGGAGTAGTATACATAGATACCGAGCCTACCGTCACAATTTGCATAAACAGCTTAACAGGCTACCGATCATTTACCTACAATCTTATTTCAAATCTTGCCCATCAAAATTAACCAATTGCCCCCGAATAAATCCTAGTCATTTACCGCCAATTTTATTTCGAATATTACCCACCAAAATTTGCCAATTACCCCCGAATAAAACCTGACCATTTACCCACAATCTTGACCATCACAAACATGAGTTAACGACCATTTACTCCGATTGATCGAACACTCTTTAACCGAGAACTCAGGGCTTAACCTAGAGCGGTTGTCTAAAAAATACTTCTGTGGAATATATAATTGATTTAAGTTTTTGAAATACTTTCCAGAACTGGGTTACTCATATTTATCGATCAACACAAAACTATAAGGTACTTTATACGTTTCATTACACAATTCTTGAAACTCTGCAAAGGCCATATCACAAGCAATGTAATCACAATGAAAATTCTTCATATCGATGAAAGCTAACTCGAATAGAATTAATAAATTTGAATTCTTTCTAATGGTTTGTCATGGTAATATGTGCTAGTTTTGGGTTAAGTAAATTGAATTACAGTTATCATGTTTTTAACGGGTGTAGAAACTATCAGCAAGATTTTGATTCTTTCCCGTAACAATATCAAAAATGACCAAATTCTTCTTCATTGGATCTATATCACTGGGATTATATCGACGCTCTCCCCTATCGACGATATTATATTATATCGACGCTCGATATAATATCGAAGATATTATATCGACGCTCAGCATCTTCCCTTCTTTACAACGAAGTGTAATTCTGATCTACCTCAGAACTTATTGAAAGAAATGTATGTATACTTTTCATGGATAATTTATGACTAGCGAAATGAAATTAACGACGGCCATTAAAAATCATATGCAAAGCTTATGTCTTCTCCTCCAAAAATTGACTATGATTGAATTACTTTGTACGTAGTATGCCGCGCATGAGAAGCGTCATTTCATTGAGTTGCAGCTTTCAGGATTCAAGCGTATTTACTATATTGCATAGCTTGAACTTTAGTTTACGGTACTCTCGAGATAGGTATGTGCAAAATTTCTGAAGGTAAATGTTGACATATCAAGTTTTCTAACTAAATATGTTGGCTAAGATTAAAATAACTTACATTTGCCCAGTAAGGAAGCCCCATGACCATCGGTGAGCCATCAATCCAGCGCCATCGCCCCTCCTGGGCTTCATCTGAGCCTCCTATCCAGTATCCGAACGGCTTATAAACTTTCCAAAGGGAGATAGATGTTGGATAAGAAATTAGTTCCAAGTTTAGGATGACAATATAATTACTTCAAAATTATTCATATGAATCAATATCAATTGAAACAATTTGAACCTAGTTTAAAAACTAACCAAAGTTTCTGCTTGGAATGCAGCTCATTGTATATGTTGAAGCTTATAGTTTATTAGGCTTCACATAATTTGCATGTTAATTTAGTGCCTCATCGTCCAGTCAGACGATATGTTAGTCTTCCTCTGATGTGGTATGGCGAATAGTTCAAACTCTAACAGAAAAATTGCCTTTTGACCACTGATACTTTCTTTTTATGATCATTTGTTTTACTAATTCGTAAGTCAAAAATAGGATAGATAATTTTTACATGTCGGCTTGGGATACATAAAGTTTATTTCTGGGACCCACTGGCCTGTGGTTATTTTCTTAAAGTCAGTAAAACGGGACGGGTTTGCGCGCAGGCAAATTTAGCCTTCGGCGAAGTTGTTACATTATCGCTACTTCTTGAGTCGTTCGCTGGTAAATCAAGGGCATTGATTCTGACAACTTATGCTTGCTGTTCAATTTAACCTATAAATTACTGCAATGTTTACTGAAATAGCTAAAATTTATCGTGATAATACAATGCGGCAAAACGTCTACTTTAATTCTGCTGTTTACCTTGCTTCTCGAAGTAGGTGGTAACCTTGCTGTACTGGTCGCAGTCATCCAGAATTATCAAATCTCCTCCAGTCGCTCCACACTCGGTGCGTGCAGCGCTCCAGGAATCAAAATCAGTTAGAAGTAAGTGAATGCATTGTGTGCCCNGGTAACAACTTGACATGTAACAACTAACATGTTGACACTATATAGTAACAGGCTGAGGTTGACAACATTACATCGAAATCTTTCGTACAGTTTTATTCTGTAATTTATATTATGTATGTATCATGCTGGTTTTTCAATAATATTCAATACTATTAAGTAAAATCTAAAGGCTTTATCTATAAATGTAGCGGTAGCGCTGTAGCGGCAAACCCTCGTATCGCTACTTAAATATGTAGCGGGCGCTACCGCTACCGCTACATTGCCTTAAATGTAGCGCCGCAATGTAGCGGCTGCTATAGTAGCGGCCGCTACATGCAGTGCGCTACTGCCCACCTCTGAATATTAGCAACACAAAGCAAGAAAGATGATTATTAAAGGATTTGAGATTTAATCCACTATCATCCAATCTACTGAGAATTCCTCTCATAATAACTGCACTCTAGGTAGAGATTATCAGCTGAGATTAATACTTCAACTTCATTTGGTTTCATTAAACAGAATCAGATCTCAGTCCATAACTGTCAGGTGTCTATTTCTGCGACCACCTGATGGATTTGTACTGAGGGTCTGGGTACTTATTGTTCCAAGTAGGACCAAGGCAGGACAAGTGAAACACGATTAACGCTAGAACTATTATAATAATAAACTGGCTCGGTGAGTACAGAAGTACGGGGATTGACAGGTACAGCA